AAGTGTACCTCTGGTGCAAATTACTGACCTCTGTCATCATTTTAGGTGGGGGAACTTGCACAATCGGTGGCTGACTAAATACTTTTTTGCCCCACTGTAATCTATGACAATAAAGAAGGGAAAATATGAAATGCAGGCATATAAGCTGTTTAGAATTTAAACATTACCAGAAACAGTTTAAGAAATTGTTTGTCTTTGTTTTATGACCATTATGTTGTCATCAATAGAAGAACAGAAATCAAAATTAACATAAATGTCATGACATTTCTATAAATTTGATCTCTTTTCCTCTGTCTAGTATGTAAAATCGGAGAAAAGGTACTCCATTATCTAGTTTGCATTACAATTTCAAATTATATGCCATACATTTGATAATAGGGCAGTAATACCAGTGTTATTAAACTTGACAACAATATTTTGATATGTTTGAAAATTTCATTCATTTTGAGTCCATATATGATTGGATTTAAAAGAGGATGGAATAAAATTGACTGAAACGTCAATGTCAAACGAAGAGTTTTGGATAGATCAGAATCCAGTCGAACTATAATTATATCAAAGAAAATAAAACAGGAAAAGTTGGTTAACACCAGCAGGTGGGGTAAACATGTCTTTACAGCTTTTTTCCTCACTTCTCTACAACAATGGTAAGATATTCTAAGAATCCTGATGTATGTAAAAAGTATGAAAAGCAAAGGTAGAAGGGCAATGTTTATCAACATGACCATACTATATATAGATATTGCGACCGAGGGCACACACTGAAGCTTGTAAAGTGAAGTGTTACAAAAAATTCCTGTCAGGGTAAAGCTACAGAGTTTGACATTCGAATACAACACACCCAGCACTGAGGTTTCAAAAGCAGGTATAAGCCAAGCTAAAATCAGACATACATAAATAGTTATTCTATTCATAATAATTGGATATTGCAGGGGTTTACATATAGACACATACCTGTCATATGCCATTGCTGCCAACAGTAAAAATTCTGAACCAACCGAGGTGCAATATGATAAACCTTGGAAAAGACAGAGTGGGTATGATATCATCTGTTTTTCAGACAAAACATCAGATAAGAGCTTTGGATAGATAATCATGCTGTAAAGAACAGAGTTGATTAACAAAGCTGCAATAAATATGTACATTGGCTCGTGAAGGTTTTCGTGAGTCCAGATAAGGAAAACTATAGTGGAATTAAAGCAGAGTATCAGAATATAAAGTGTAAATATGATCACAAAATAGAGATACCTGTATTTGTGCAATTCTGCAAACCCACCTAGAGTTAACAATGTTACATTTAATTCAACATCCATTCAATGAGAAAAAATGTTATTTACTATACAACTAGATGACATAAATGGTATTCATTAAAAATCAAATGAAAAGACAAGTCTTAATGTATTGTAGTAATGCTTTTCCAGCACCGAACTAAGAAGTAATTGGCTCTGTGGCTTTGTTTTATCAGACAACTTCCCATTCTCAATGGGACTCATTAAGTTCTTCAAGAACATGTAAACAATTTCACCAAACTTTATCAGTTGATATTTTTGTCTGTATGATCTGTCATCATACATCATACCAAGGTTATTATTGTTAACAAAAACTAACGTAATAATGAAAACTAGAAGTGAAAAAACATTTTCGTTAACGGAAATAAAAATAAAAACAAAAAAAGGAAAACTAACTAAAACTGTAATGAGTGTTCACAAAACTAACTAAAAGTAACTGAATTTATAGCAAAAATGTGTTTAGTTTTCATTGATGTGTGCGTGTCATACAATAGTCAAGGGTGAAAATGAAGTTTAGTTTCCAGATTTTTTCCTTGCTGTCTAATTATGCCAGCAGGTGGCAGTACGTTACTCTAGTCATCTGTGTTGCTGCTCCGTCCACGCGCAGAATCATGTCAGGAAAAGTCGGGAGAAAGCGCCAGAGTCCAATTTGGGATTACTTTGAATATGACTGTGTTTTGGATAAAGCAAGTGTCTTGTAGTGGAAAGAGACAAATCATGATATCAGATTATAATATATGATATCAGATTGTGAACCACAGTGCAATGTGGAAAGAAAACAATAATTAATGCATTTTAGGAGAATTATATTTCTTACATTTTTTACTGTGGAGAGGGGAACACTTGAAAAAGTTAGCAGAAAAGTGTGGGCTTTTGCCACAAAAGAATGGCAAAGCAACAATCCACTCAACTTTGTCACAGATGTCTGAAGTTACAAAGAACCGTGGTTATCTTTGAGATTTCCATTTCATGTTATTCCCTTCTGACTGCTAGTGGCATTGAACAATGTGAAAGACTCATAACAGCAACTTATCTGTCAGACAGTGGCGTGGGCCCTGTGGTCACATGAACCTGGCAGAACATATAGAAGTTGTTGTCTGGGATGCTGCTGCACAGATTTTCTCCAGTGGAAAAACTGTTATTGTTGCATGACCACACCACAATAGTGACAGATAACAACTGAAAGGGAAGGTGTACCTGGAACTTCTTACATGGGCTTTATTGTGTCAACAGCTCAGTGGGAATTTCACTCTCTGGACAAAGCCTTTTCCCTGTTCTTCACATTACAAAAAACTAAGAGCCGCTCTTTGCATCTGAGTCTAAAAGACTCAGTGCAGTCAAATTCCGTCCAGCAACAAAACTTGCAAACCACAAAAATCTTTGATAACTTTCTCAAAAATTTGATATAGTATAACAATTACCAGTGATCAACTAACTGAATTGATTTGTTAGACTTACTAAGACATATTTTGAAAAACTAAATTCTGAAACTAATATTGCAATGCCCTGGCGTAGCGATCCCCAGCTTCCAAGAATAGCAACTGGGATATGTAACGTCACTTCTCTGGTGGGGAAGGAGCCTGAATTAGTGCATAAGACTGAGAGATACTGATCAGATATAGTTGAGCTCACCTCAATGCATGGCTTGGGCTCTGGAACCATTCTCCTGGAGAGGAGCTGGACTCTGTCTCAGTGCGGAGTTGCCCTCAGTGAGAGGTGGCGGGTTTCAGAGATGGCACGATACCACTTTTTTTTATGTCCAATACTGATATCATAATTTTGGATATCTGCCGATACTGATATGAATACGATGCAGTGTATTTTATAATCAATAAAACGTTTTAGGTTTTTTTTTATATCTTGCTGCATTTTGTGAAAGTTCATACTCAAGTTTTAAAAAGCAAAACACTAAAGCTATTAAAAAATACACTGCACCCAAAATATTTCTTTATTCAGCAATACTGATCAGTCACCACCCTCCGCCTCATAATGCTTATTATCGTGCAATTGTGGCTCAAGACTTAGGAGTTCGTCTTGTAATTGGAAGGTTGCCAGTTCGAGCCCTGGCTTG